AAAAAAAAATTTCGGACTTTATCTTATCTTCATGGTGAAAATGGCTACCGAATGCTATTTTTGTGTGAAAATTTTCGATTTTGTATTTTCCATTTTTAACTTTATTATGCTATAACTTTTTGAAAAATGTATGAATCATTACAATTTTTTTATTATAGATGCATGATGTCATTACCTATCATTTGACATACTTTTTTTTTAAATCGGACCATTTCCCTTAATACAGGGGGGATTCAAAACATAAAAATGCATATAGAAAGTAGAACTTTTTCAACTTAACTTTTGAAAGTGTTCCGGAGGGTCTGACACTTTTATATATATCTTAAATTAAAGCTAATGTAATATGCTTTATCATGAAAAAAAAAAATTTCGGACTTTATCTTATCTTCATGGTGAAAATGGCTACCGAATGCTATTTTTGTGTGAAAATTTTCGATTTTGTATTTTCCATTTTTAACTTTATTATGCTATAACTTTTTGAAAAATGTATGAATCATTACAATTTTTTTATGAGAAGTAGTATTTATATAGATCTTTCATTCGACATACTGTTTTTTTAAATCGGACCATTTCCCTAAATACAGGGGGGATTCAAAACATAAAAATGCATATAGAAAGTAGAACTTTTTTAACTTAACTTTTGAAAGTGTTCCGGAAGGTCTAACACTTTTATATATATCTTAAATTAAAGCTAATGTAATATACTTTATAATGATAAAAAAAAATTTCGGACTTTGTTTTGTCTTCACAGTGAAAATGGCTACCAAATGCTATTATTGTGTGAAAAATCTCAATTTTATTTTTTACATTTTAGCTTCGATGCGAAGCTGAGAAGGTATTAATTTTACTATGATGTGTTTTAGCTTCGATGCGAAGCTGAGAAGGTATTAATTTTACTATGATGTGTTTTTTTATTTTTTTTTTTTTTTTTTTATTTTTTTTTTTGTGTCTGTGAACGCTCAATCTCAGCTCTCGCTGGACCGATTTTGATGAACAATATGTCAAAAGATCACAAATCGTATCTAGTCGAAGACATTACCCTCAAAAATTGAAAAAAATTCCCTCGTTCCCCGTAAACGGGGGAAATCCCCCAAAAAATTACAAATTTAAAAATCGCTAATTTTCGATATTTTTTCAATTTTTTTTACTTAAAATTGCCATAACTTTTTTAAAAATGACCGAATCAATATAATTTTTTTTTTTATAGATACCTTAGATAATTACCTATCATTTTATATATTTTTGTGAACATTTGACCCTTTAACAGCCCAAAGGATGGGGTTTCAAAATGGTAACTTTTTTACAAAAAATTAACTTTTTCAACTTAACTTTTGAAAATGTTCCGGAAAGACTGACAATTTTATATATACCTTAAATTAAAGCTAATGTAATATACTTTAATTTGAAAAAAAAAAATTTGACCTCTGGACTTGTCTTCATGGTGAAAATGACTACCGTATGCAAAAATATGCTATTTTTGTGAAAAAATTCTTGATATTATATTTTACATTTTTTAACATTATGTTGCTATAACTTTTTAAAAAATGCATGAATCAACTTTATTCTTTAATGATAAATACTTTATATATACTTCTTTCATTCGACATACTTTTTTTTAAAATCGGACCATTTCCCTTTATACAGGGGGGGTGCAAACCTTTTAAAATGCGTATAGAAAGTAGAACTTTTTCAACTTAACTTTTGAAAATGTTCCGGAAAGACTGACACTTTTATATATATCTTAAATTAAAGCTTATGTAATATACTTTAATTTGAAAAAAAAAAATTTGACCTCTGGACTTGTCTTCGTGGTGAAAACGGACATCAAAGTTAAAGAAAAACGTACGATTTCCGTGAAAAAAATCTCGATTTTATATGTTATATTATTTAATTTATATTTTATATAACTTTTGGAAAAATGTATGGATCTATATTATTATTTTTTTATAATAAATATTGATATACCCCTTTCATCTGGCACGCTTTTTTTGTAAATCGGATCATACCCCTTTAACAAGGGGGGTCAAAACTTTAAACATGCGTATTGTTACTACGATATTTTCAATTTAATTTTTGAAAGTATTCCGGAAATACTGACACTTTTAAATATATCTTAAATTAAAGCTTATGTAATATACTTTAATGTGAAAAAAAAAAATTTGACCTCTGGATTTGTCTTCATGGTAAAAATGACTACCGTATGCAAAAATATGCTATTTTTGTGTTAAAATTCTGGGTTTTGTATTTTATTTTATTTTAAAATACCTGACAAGGGGAGTACAGATTTTCATAAATATTATATAAATTAAAATTGATATAGTATAGATAGTTAAACTTATTTAAATATGTTTGTTTCTTTTAAGTCGAGAAAAATAACTTTGAAATTTGAACTAGCTTAAATAGCCAATTTTTCAACCGCCGGAAGCAACGTACGGTTGCCGAGTTGGTAAAATTTATGTTTTACACGCTTGGGGTACGAGGTTCCAACCCGCATATGGCAATGAATTTTTTGCATTTTTTCTTAATTCTTTTTAAGTTAGTATAAATTTTAACTCGTTTGATTTTTATCACATTTAGATTCAATAACTTCAATAAAGATCAAGGATCCCATCACTTTAGTCGCCCCTTGCAAGAAGAAATTTCTTATTCGTATTAAAATTATTTTACTATATTTTAAGTTTTCGCTTCGATGCAAAGCCGAGAAGATATTTTTTTGTGACTATCATTTATTTTCTCTGCTCTAACTTGACCTACTTTTTTCAACAATACGTCAAATTACTACAATTCGTATCTAGTTGAAGATATTACTCTCAAAAATTGAAAAAAAAATTCTAATTTATCAATTAAACAGTTAGTTATTACATCGTCTCCATAAAGACAATTAAAATCATTAATTTCTAATGTTTTCAAAATATTTATTAACGAATGAAGTTTGATATGATAGGTTTCAACTACAAAATTAAATCATTTTACTTTGTAATTTAATAATTTTTTTACTCTATTTGTGTGTGCTACTACTAGACTATAATATTACAATTTTTTTTTGTAACATGTTGCTATATAAATCATTTCTAAAAAAAATGATTGTTTTTTCTCCTGAATTAACAATTGATTTTTACAAATATAATCAAATTTTATAATACACTCAATTGAGTAAATCTTTTTAACAACTTTGTTTTGATTGGTACATTTAGTTAAAGTAAATCATTAAAATTAATTAAGTTCTCAATATTTCAATTATAGAATCTTTTCAACAAACAACAAAAGTTCCTAGGAAATTATTACTATTACTTCTATTTAAGTTATCTATTACCATAAAAATGCAAAAAAATATTGAGCTTTTCTGATAAATTTACAATAAATAGTAATTATAAAACTTTCTGACTGCATATTGATCTTAACGATACAATTTTTTTAATTGTCATAAAATTTTCTATTTAATTATGTCAATGTCAAACTTACCAATTGAGCTAAAAGTTATGGTAAAATAAATTTTTTTTTTTTATTATAAACATTTACAACAATCAACTTTAAACGATTAACAAAATAGGTTAAATATGTCATTTTCCTTATTTTTAACTTATTAATAATCAAATTAATATTAAATATTATATCAAATCAGTATTAATTTAAAACAATTTTTTTTGTTCTTAATTATTTTTTTTTATATGTAAAAACTATTTTTTAATAATATTAAAACTTAGAAGTTATAGAAAAAGTCTAATTGCACATTTTAAAACATCGCGAAAAGTTGATTTAGAATAGTATATTTTTGTTTCTGATGGAAGTTCCTTGTAGTCCAGTGTATAAAACTTATAACTTTGTTAATTGTTATAACTTTATCAAAAATGACCAAATCAGTATATTTTTTTTTATTTAGATGCATGTCTTTATCTATCATTTGGTTTTTTTTATAAATCTAACCCTTTACCTGCCCACAAGAGGGATTCAAAATATTAACTTTTTTTTTTTTAGTTAAAGTAAATCATTAAAATTAATTCAGTTCTGGATATTTCAATAGTAGAATCTTTTTAAATATCAAAAATTACTTAGAAATGATTACTATGATTTCTATTTAAGTGTTCTATTACGATAAAAATGCAAAAAATA